GGGTTGAAGCTTGACTCAGAGGAAGCCCGAAGTTTGCCCTAATTAATTCATGAGCCTCGAGTAAGTTTCAAAAGAAATCCAATCATTTATTAGGAACACCATTTCGGCAATACCCCATTGCAGTCAGATCTGACCTCATTTAAATTATGGCGGAACTTTGCCCCTGTTTCTACCCTCCCCTCAGTCTGTGTCATAAATCACATTCTCCAACGAGGTGCCCTCTCACAAGTCTGCTGTAGTAATCTGAGATCCACCCTCTAGTTGAAGGTATGCGTGGAATGTGCTCCCCCCCCTTTCCTCACCATGGCAACTTTATGAGTTGACACCGCGTGGATCTAACTGGTAAGTTCTTATACCTCACATCCCAAACTGATCAGCCATAGAAAATATCCAAAGGCAGCGGAATAACCTTAATCGGTTTCTCAGGTTCAGGCAAAACCTTGAATCAAATAGTTCATCTATGAGAACATAAAAACCTTGGAGCAAGAGATTCCACTCATACCTTCTTTTTCCTAGAAAAAGCAACTGACTCTTAAATTAAACCAATGGGTTGAAGAGAGACAGCTAGACTGACGGATAGAGTGGTAGACTAGTAGACAGAGAGACTGACAGACAGACCTAGACAGACAGAGCAACCCCTTGTATGGGATAAACAGATTTTGTTTCTTTACAAAGAAGGGGGAATCAAACTTCTTTAGAGTTGGATTGTTTTGATGGAGTGTGATTGAAAGATCACAGGAGGAAGGGAAAAGGGTCTTATCCAAGGAACTAAAAGGCAGATTAACCTGAAATCCTTGTGGTACAAGAAGAGAACCAGGCTGAACTCTCCCTAAACTTTAACGGGGTATATTTAATAGATATGTAGATTTGTGCTTTAGTCTGGCAAGATTCCTGTCTAGAGGTGAGCAACAATAAAAAAACTACTCTGAGTAACTCCTCATGTCATTCTTCGTTCCTTGCATCTACCCATTTTAAAGTTTCCAAGGTTGGGAAGCACCGCTCTAGCCAGATGCCTTCCAATTGTATTTTCAGATGTTATTTTCATACAATTTTGTAGTCTATAAAACCATACATTGTAAAGGAGGATGCTGTAAGTTTAGACATGGACACCCTTTAGAATTCACGAAGACATCAAATAGGTCCATGATGGCGAACCTATGACATGTGTGCCCAAAGTGGCACACGGAGCCATGTCGTCTGTCACACATGGTGTCACCAGTTCCTCTTCCGGGTTTTTGGCACGCATGTGCAAGTGACTATCAGCTGGCTTTTGTGCCTGCGGCAATGCCAGAAACTGGAAGAGCTAGTCTTTTATTTTCCGGTATGAGCATACATGGCAGCCAGATGATCATCATGTGTGCCAGTAACCGGAAGTTGGTGCGCATGTATGTGCTGGAAACAAAACGTTCATTTTCCGGCATGCTCATGCCCCCTGGGCAGCTCCTCTTCTGGGTTGTGGCCCAGACGAGCATCAGCATACGCTCCCTTTTTGGCACTTGGTGCCAAAAAGATTCACCATCACTGAAATACGTGATGATATCAATGTGCAAGTGACATAGATGGTGTGGTTTGTGTCATGATGTCATGCTATCTGGGCCTTCTCTTCCTGCCAACGAACCCTATGCGCTGCCCATCTGCAAATTCCAGCTAGTCAAAAGCAAACAAGAAGTTTAAGCTATTTTTGTCCTATGAGAATGTTTTCCAGAAGTGAATTTTGAGTTGGACCCATGCTCTGAAACAATTGATATTTACTGATTAACTGGGGGGGGGGTGTCTATGTGACCAGATGTGGGACAGACTAAGAATGACGCATCGGCCTAAATTAAGAATGGTCATCCAGGAGCTTTCAAAAGGATCTTGAATTGTGGTGGTAGATGAGAGCTCATTAACTTCCCTCTGGCCCACTATCTACTGTGTTTCCCCAAAAATAAGACAAGGTCTTATTTTCTTTTGACCCTCCAAAATAAGCCCCATTTGGCCTTATTTTCAGGGAGGTCTTATTATTTGTGAGGTGCAGGAGGCAGCGAGCATGGTCACCTCATGGTTTCTGCTGTGTTGCAATATTTTGGGGGAGAACTTATTTTCCGGGAAGGACTTATCTTAGCACATGTGCTCAAAAGTCCTATTGGGCTTATTATCCAGGGAGGTTTTATTTTCAGGGAAACAGGGTATGTGGCTATAAAAATAATTCAGTGGAAGAGATAAATAGCTTTGTTCAATAGTGGGTTTTTTCATGTTTTATCTCCTGAATCTTTTTCTGTCATTCTTATGTTTAATCAAGATTCTGGCACATTTCTCACAACCCGTCATTAATTCACATTAACCTAGTCTTCTGGTTCTCACCATTGATTCTTTGGAGCAGACAATGAGTTTCCCGTTTTCTTTTGTAGGGGGAATGCCCCCATTACTTACCTCTTCACTCCCACTTCAAGCTCCTTCATACTTTGATGAGCCTTTAGTGGGCTTCCAAGGTACCTCACATTCACTGGAACTTGCATTGAAAATCCATGCTTTGATGGCTACATTGAAAAGTCCTGGTCAGGTTAGATAAAAATTAATGATTTTTTTAGAAAAAGCAAACGCATCAGATTTTTTAAAAAAAAATAAATCAGATTTTTTTATTTAAATCAATTTTTAAATCATTTTTATTTTTATCAACTGTATTTAATAAAATGCTTTTCAAGTAAAAATCTATCTAAAGATAGTTTTCTATATAAGATACATTAATATTGTAGTTTATTCAGCATGAAATGGAGCTTAGTTATGTAGCATGACCAGTGGTGAGATTCAGCCAGTTTGCACCTATTCGGGAGAACCGGTTGTTAACTTTCTAAGCAGTTTGGAGAACCGGTTGTTAGAAGAAATCTCCTTTTGTTTTTTCCCCACTTTACAAGGCTAATCCTGTAAGGAAGGCAGGAAGGAAAGATTCTGGTGTTGTTTCTAGCCTAATTTTTACTGACCTGCTAACAGAAACTGCCTCTCCGGTTAACGCTTACGACATTGTCACAGCTAAGGCAAAGTGCCCATCGACCTGAGTGACGTTGAGTTGGCCACGCCCATACAATCACATGATCACCAAGCCCTGCCTACCCAGCTGGTCATTAGGGCAGAGAATCGGTTGTTAAATTATTTGAATCTCACCACTGCATGAGGCTGTATATTCTGCAATATTAGGACTGTCAGTGAGTCATCAGCGGATCAGAGGAGGAGCCGCTGCAGGACAGAGGCAACAGTTGTTCTTCAAAAATGATGATTTAAATCGAATTGATTGAAATCAAGCCTTTTTATTCGTGATTTAAATCCACCTTGGTCCTGGTTGATTATTTTTTTGCAGAGGGGTGAGTGGTGGGTATTATCTCAGGAACCTTCAGCAGATCGTCCCGTCGCTTGAAAAGATTTCTCTGTTTTATGTCTACCCTCTTTGTCTGGATAATTGCAATTTGTGCCAGCCGCATTCAGCAGGAACTACGGCACCCGATGTGGTGCCACCCAAGACCAAAGCACAGACACTTCTCTGGTCTTATATCTGCTTTGCTTCCGATAACCCCTCTGATTGTCTGGGTTGGCTTCAACCTCCGTTACAGCTGCTCCTTTCTGCTATTCCATTTCCACCTTCAGCCTCTCGCTTCCAACTCCAGCAGGCTTCTTCACCATCACTTTCCCTGGGCCGACTGATCTTATCTAACAGAACAAAGGCAAAAATAATGAGGTTTTGAAAGAAAGACACCCTCCCAATTTGGCAGGTATGAAGCTTCTCTTGAACTGAGAAAAAACATAGAGTTGAAAGCAGCTGAAGGACAGGACACCTCCAGGCTGATTTTGCTGTGAACTATACCTCCCACCATACGCCATGTACCTTGTCGTGACTTAATTAACGCATCAACTGTAGTTTTGCTAATAATCACCTATCCAAGTATTGTTATTTCATGCATGTGTCCAAACTAAAACCACATTCCTCTCGTTCTTGCATTTGAACTTGTGGGCATTAGTGGAAAAAACTCCAAATTACAATCTAATCTAATCTTTCCGCTTAAGGCATGAACGAAACTTAATCAAACTATAAATATTCACATTATCCTTAGGTGTGGTCTTCCTAGTTCCTTGACCTTCCCTTTCTTTTTTTTCTTCCTTGGTTTCCTTTGTGATTTATTTTGAGCAGACCCTACCTTCCAAAAAGTGTCAGCATAAGGATGTCGATATTAAACCCACCAACTAACAAATGTTAAATGAAATAACAGAAAGGCCAAAAATCACACAGCAAGATTATTGTCCTGAAGAGCCTTCTCCCTCTTAGACTGCTTTCAACTCTGGATTAATTCAAGGGTGACATCCATCCATCCTTGGTTAATGTCTACAGTCAAGTACTGTCCCACGCAATCAATGATTCTAGGGCCAGGATTTTACTGATCTGCTCTAACAAATCTGCATGAATTGCCTGCCTTCTGGCTTCAATTTACAGCCTGTAATGGTTCTTCCACTCAGCCATCGAAATGCATGAGCATGGTGATTTATCTGAGCTGGAATCCTGTTTGTTTATAAGTATTATTCAAAATATTTAGCTTTATTAAAAGAAAAACAAAGCCACACGCTTCGGTGCTGTTAACTGAAGCTCACCTCTATACCAACTGTGTCTCTTTGGCTGCGTTTCATGCAACATACTTAATTGTTGTTGAGTAGACCACATTGTGTGGGTTCCCACAATGAATTGAACTCTACCCCAATCAAACGGATTTGGTGAATTCAACAGGCGAAGCCATAAAAGAAACTGACCACAGTTAAAACCGAGCATCTTCTGTACATGGCCTTTAAGTGTGTTGTGCAAACCCAGTTGTCATTTATGTACACATTTTTTTTTCGGTGTTTAAATATGGGCTGTGTTGCACCCATTGTTGTCTGCTTCCTTTTGAGTTTTTCCTTTCTTAATTTTAGACGCTTCCCTACATGTTGAAGATGGTTTTGTAACCGTCCCGGCCTGACACGTTATCTCTTTTATGTTACAGAATCGCATGCATGAATCGCTGAAGCTGTTTGATAGTATCTGTAACAATAAATGGTTCACAGATACCTCCATCATTCTCTTCCTCAATAAGAAGGACATTTTTGAAGAGAAGATTAAGAAATCCCCGTTAATTATCTGCTTTCCAGATTATGCAGGTAAATAAAAGACATCCTTTCATTATATATGTGTATATACACACAAACAAACACAAACACACAGAGAGAGGAGGGAGGGGGAGGGATGGATAGTATTTTGTGACTCAGAACATTTGCCCTTTGTTGAGTCAAAAATTCCCAAACTAGGGTCCACAAATAGACCAGATGTTGTATCAAAATTGTTTTTGAAAGGGATAGGGAAACATTGGTGGGGAAGACTCCTGCGAGTCCCTTGNGAAGCGGGTAGAAATCAATGGCAAAGTAGTTGTATAATGTTGGTTGTTATTCTCTACTGCCCAGAGTTCCCTGGAAATGGAGTAGGATATGAGCATCATTAGATAAATAAATAAAATAAATGGCTGCCAAGGAAATTGCTTGGATGTGTCCATGACTTTCCAGGGAGTTGAGCACAACACAAAAGTATCTTTACCTCTATATGTATTTAATGATTTTCCCTTTCTCTCTCAATAAAAAAATAATAATGGGTCAGGAGCCCGTCTGAAGAGTCCTATGCAACCCTGTAATATATTATCCAGTCTTCTTGATATTTCCTTTTTTTTTCTTATCATGCCTTTTTTTTTCCTGCTGGCTGCTTAAAATGCTTTACAGAGATATGAGTTTTGAAGGAGATGGGAGTTTGCTGAATTTCTCCTTTATGTTTGCAAATTAGCTGCAGAATCTTTTTATTCTGATTTTTTTTAAAAAAATTGCATGTTTGATCGGCCGCAACGGTATTAATGATCATTTTGTATGATGTGTGAATGAGCCTCAGTCCAGTCCAAGAGTTCTTTTGATTCTTATTGTAATAATTTATTGGCTGCCATGTATTTATTAGTTACCAAATCTTAATAAAGTGCCAGCTCTTTTCTAGTGTCCGAGACACTTTTATTAGATTTCCCTCTACGGAGCACAGGGTGTTGTGATGGGTTGAGGTTAAGAGGTTGGACTTGTCGACTGGAAAACCGACAGTTCAGGTTTGAGACCCGAGTGCCACACAATGGGATGAGCTCCTGTCCTCGCCTTAGCTCTTACCAACCTAGCAGTTTGAAAGTATGCAAATGCAAGTAGATAAATAGGTACCACTTTGGTGGGGAGGTAACAGCATTTTGTGACATCCTACTGACCATATGACCATAGAAATGACCATACAAATGCACCACTCCATAGTATCAACAACAACTAGGGGAGTAAAAGCTGCAGAGACCCCTTTTATCTTTAGCTAACAAAGGCAGATGTGAGGAAAGCCATAGAATATAGCAGAAGATGTCCACACCACTTCTTAATAAGGACATTTTTCATCCTAACAGTTTCCTGAGAAAGAGAAAAGTGCATGTAGAGATTTAAAGATTTTAGAGGTTTATGGAGATGTAAAGAATTTAGAGAATACAGATTAGCATAGTGGAAGAAAGTGTTTTCGGGAAGTAACTACTGTGTTTCCCCCAAAATAAGACATAGTCGTATTTTATTTTGACCCCGAAATAAGCGCTTGCCCTTATTTTTGGGGAGGTCTTGTTATTTTTGAGGTGCAGCAGGCGGCGAGCATGGTCACCTCATGGCTGCTGCTGTGCTGCAATATTTTCAGGGAAGGCTTATTTTCCGGGTTGAGCACATGCTCTCAAAAGCTCAATTGGGCTTATTATCCAGGGAGGACTTATTTTCAGGGAAACAGGATAGCAGAACCTCAAAAAAGGTATGACTACACCACTGAAATCACTCCTGGGTTTTTTTTAAATTGGAGTTTATTGTGAGTTAAAGTACAAAAACAAAGAAATATCAAGGGAGAGAGGGAAGGAAAGAAAGAAAGAAAAAGAAAGGAAGGAAGGAAGAAAGAAAGAAAGAAAGAAAGAAAGAAAGAAAGAAAGAAAGAAAGATGCAAGAGAAGATAAAAAGGATAAGAAAGCAGGGACTTCTAACCTTTTTCACTTCCTCCACTAGGTGTAGCATCTTTCTTATTCTCACCAACTCTATCATGCGAGGTGAATTTTCTGGATGACTTCAAGGAGAAAGAAAACTAGGAAGAAAACATTAGGAATTCCAAACAGTGGCAGTCTTGATCTCATGCTTTTTGCAAACCTGTATTACATGCTCAAAGTAAAGCAAAAAGAGACAGCAGCATGAAGACAAAACCCAGATCCTTCATACAAATGAAACTAACCTCCAATTTTCTTACTTCTGTATCCGAAACGATGATTCACCCAACAGGGTTCTTTAACTTTTGTTTTCACTGCCGGCTTGGCCATTGCTCTTTTCTCTTAAGCTTAACTTGGTTTCTTTCTCTCTCTCTCTCTCCACCCCCCCTTTATTTCCTCCTCTCCCGCCATCTCCTTCCTTCTTTCCGATGCAGAACCGCATGCACGAGTCTTTAATGCTCTTCGACTCCATCTGTAACAACAAATTCTTCATCGATACCTCCATCATACTCTTCCTCAACAAGAAAGACCTGTTTGGTGAGAAGATCAAAAAATCGCCTCTGACCATCTGCTTCCCTGAATACACAGGTAAGTCTCGGATTCTTAGATCTGTGTTTTGCAGCCTGGCCAACGTTAAGATTTGTGGACATTGATTCCCAGAATTCACCAGCCAGCTGTGCTGGGTGGGGAATTCTGGGAATCGATGTCTATGGATCTTAAAGTTACTGAGTTTGAAAAATAGACCTCTAGACTGCAAGGGCTAACCCCGTGATGGCGAATCTATGGCGCACATGCCAGAGGTGGCATGCAGAGTCCTCTCTTCGGGCATGTGCCATTGCCAGCAGCTGGTTTTCACGGCCTGAAAATGGCTCCAAAAATAGCCATTTTCCAGGTTGTTTTGGAGCCTATTATGGGCTGGTTTTGGGGGCCATTTTCAGGCCATTTTTGGGCCTGCAAAACAGCTGGAAAAGGGCCTGAAAAACAGCTTGAAAACAGCCCCAAAAATGGCCTGAAAATGGCCAAAAAACAAGCATGCGCTCACCAACCAGCTGGTCTTCAGATTTCTGGCATTCCAGCACATGCATATGCAGACATGTTCCAGTTTGGGCACTCGGTGCCAAAAAGGTTTGCCATCACTGGCCTAACCAATCCAAGCAGCCACATGAGAGGGGGATTGACATCTCAGGCACTGTGATGCAGGGGTAGTATTCAAAAATGTTAGCAACCGGTTCTCTGCCCAGTTGCTGGGTTGGTGTGGCCATGGTGGGCATGGCCTACTTGGCCTCCTGCACCAAGGTGGGGAGTGACTTTTTACTCTCATCAGACTCTGGAGGCTTTCTTCAAGCCTCCGGGAGGGCAAAAACGGGCCTGTTTCCAGACTTCCAGGTCCTGTACTTACTTGGCATCCAAAATGGGCCACATAGAGACTCCTTGGAGGGGAGGGTTGGGGTGGGCATGGCCAGCCAGTCCTTGCAACTACCGGTTTGGTGAACCAGATGTAAAATTAGCATCCAGTTCACCCCAACTGGTCTGAACCAGCTGAATCCCATCCATGCTGTGATGTCATCACATCAATGACATCATTTTGGCTTGTACTAGACATCTAGGAATGTTGGGCCTCACTGGTCAAGCTGAGTCTCTTGAAACACTAGAGAGCATTCTAGCATGAAGATCCTGGACTCTTGCGCCATAGTGACACAGTGGTTGGAATGCGGTATTGCAGGCTAATTCTGCTGACTGTCAGCAGTTCGATCCTGACCGACTCAAGGTTGACTCAGCCTTCCATCCTTCTGAGGTTGGTAAAATGAGGACCCAGGTTGTTGAGGGTAATATGATGGCATTGTAAACTGTCCAGAGAGTGCTGTAAGGCACTATGAAGTGGTATACGTCTTAAGTGCTATTGCTATTGCTCTTAATTCAACTCCCGGTCTTCTAAAATTGTGCAACACAAATTGGGCAACCTTCTGAATCTGAAAACTTGAAGTCGAATCAATCCAATCCAACTGTACAGTTGGTTTTTTAAACAAAAAATTAGTCAGCTGGGCTTTGCAATTCTTTTGGTTCCAATCAGAAATAGCCTGTTTGCATAAGTGCAAAATTCCCTTCAGACTCTGAATGGCAACCAAGGTGCGTGTGTTTTTAATCATTCTGAAGGCATCTATTTTGATTTCATTCAATAATTCAAAGATTTGGTTCAGAAGAATGAATGGAGAGTAACAGGGTCCTTATCTTAGCCTTAGAAAAGTGTTTTTTAGCCCCAGCAAACTTTAAGGACTTCAACTCCCAGAATTCTCCTGCCAGCCTGGCAAGGGAATTCTGGGTGTTGAAGTTCACTCATCTTAAAAGTTGCTGAGGTTGAGAAACACTAGTTTAGGGAGTTCCCGCCAGAGGTGGTATTCAGCCGGTTCGGACAGGGTCACCCCAACCGGTAGTGGAAATCACAGGTGGTCTCGCGCACAGTCACATTTGCAAACCAGTAGGGAAAGTAAGTGAATGCCAACCCTGGTTCCCACTCTTCTATCCAGCTGTAGACAGGTTCCATGGAATACTAACTTGTTCTAATTCAGCCGTTGTCTTATTAACCTGGATAAGGGGGCAGAATTTAAAATATAATTTAAAATAGCCACAGGTCACAGGGATAGCCAAATCTTGAAGGATCTTTACGTTCTCAAGTGAAATTCAAAACATGGGTTAAGTCATGGATATACTCTTTAATGATCTAGATTGGTTTTTTGAGGCACCATCTTTGTTGTACTCAAATCAATGGTGGGTTTCAAATAATTTACCAACCAGTTCTCTGCCCTAATGACCAGCTGGGTAGGTGGGGCTCAGTGGTCATGTGATCATGTGGGTGTGGCCAAGTCAATGTCACTTAGGTCAATGGGCACTTCGCCTTAGTTATTACAATGGTAATAAGGGTTAACTGGAGAGGCAGTTTCTGTAAGNATTGCTCCTTCAAAGTTAAACCAAATTAGCATTTCATATGATAATTTGAAATTATTTCATCATATTTCATCTGTTGGTCTATTTTACTATAAGCAACATAAGTCCTCAAATTCAATTTTAACATAGAGAGCATTTAATTGAATTAATTGTCCACAATAAACAATGTTACTATAATTTCCTTATATCTTAATTTACTAGATAACATTAACAATCTTAATACTATTCCCTTTAATCTACTAATATATCTTTTCTTTCTCTTCCTCCTCCTCTTTTTCATAGGCTCTCAAAGATTCCCCTTCTTATTAATTTCCTCTTTTTCCCCATTCTCCCAGCTTTTTTTTTTCTTATTTTTATGATTATTGTAACTTTTCTTCAAAATCGTTTTTCTCACTTTTAATTTTATTATTCTAGTAGCTTTCCCCAGGGTTTTTCCAAGTCTCTTCCCTTCCTTGCTGTTTGATTGTTTCTTTTTGGGGGGACGTTCCCCCTTGTCTACTTTTTTTTTGTCACTGTAAATCCCAATGAAATCACTAACTGATTTTTATTTTCAGTTCCTTTTTCTTTCGTATTATCTTCTTGTTCTTCATTTATACCCTTCCCTCCCCCCTTTCTCCTATTTCCTGGTCTGTGTGCTCCATCTGGTTTTCTGACTCGTTTTTAACCAATTAAAGTTTCATGCGTATTTTTAGTATCTCAAATAATTCATCATACATCCAAAACTCCATAATGCAAGTTTAACTAATTTAACAAAATTATATCACATTTAATTAAAACTTAAAGTCCATGTAATTCTTTTTTCTCTTTTATTTCCAAATTCTAACATCCAATTCTATTATTAATCCACTCCAATCCAAATTGAAAAGGTTTTTTTTCCCTTTCACAGCTATAGATAGTCTAAATCAAACAATGGTGCAAAACCAAGCACTCCTTAAAAGTTCTCATGGTTTCAGAATATCTTTTCCTGTAGCCACAATCAATATTTTGCAGCTGCACTCACTTTCTTCTTTCATTAGGTATTCACTAGGTCCCTAGGTATTGTAGTATTCTCTGCTCACCAACAGATGGCTCTCTCCAATCCACAATACACTCCAATAGCTGACTGTCAAAAACTGTGAAAATCCATAAAAAATAGAAAAAGGAGAAAAGGGACTTCCCCCCCCCCCCGGGTCCTTTCTTTTTATTATTTTTAATATCTTCAACTCCAAATGTAAAAACAGGAATCTTCTAAGGCTTTAGTACTTTAACTTCCGCTGTTTTGTTTTCCCTCCATAGAATTCCTGAAATGCCAATTAGCCCCTGATTCAGTTCCATTACATGACCCAAAACTTTGTGTTTTGAGAACATTTTGGATAATCATTTGTCTGAAATGGTATAGGGTTTCCTGTCAAAGCAGGGGGTTGGACTAGAAGACTTCTAAGGTCCCTATTCTATTCTATTTTGTGCTATGCTATGCTACGCTACGCTACGCTGCTCTACTCTACTCTACTCCATTCTTATTCCATTATTCTATTCTATTCTGTTCTATTCTATTATTGTATTCTATTGGTCTATTCTATTAGTCTATTCTATTACTTTATTCTATTATTCTATTCTATTCTATTAGTCTATTCTATTATTGTATTCTATTGGTCTATTCTATTAGTCTATTCTATTACTTTATTCTATTATTCTATTCTATTCTATTAGTCTATTCTATTATTGTATTCTATTGGTCTATTCTATTAGTCTATTCTATTACTTTATTCTATTATTCTATTCTATTCTATTAGTCTATTCTATTATTGTATTCTATTGGTCTATTCTATTAGTCTATTCTATTACTTTATTCTATTATTCTATTCTATTCTATTAGTCTATTCTATTATTGTATTCTATTGGTCTATTCTATTAGTCTATTC